CCCCCAAATCCACCCCAAACCCCCCCATTTCCCCCAAATCCTCCCCAAAACCCCCCATTTCCTCCCCAAACCCCCCAAATCCTCCCCAACCCCCCCATTTCCCCCCAAACCTCCCCATTTCCCCCCAAATCCTCCCCAAATCCTCCCCAAACCCCCCCCATTTCCCATCCAAACCCCCGTGTCCCCCCCCGTGCCCCCCAAGCACAGCCCCCCCCATGTTTCCCCACCTGACGAGGGGGGACGGTGACGGGGGGGGCGGGTACTGACCCGTACATCTCGGCCGCCGAGCGCTTCACCCCCGCCTTGCCCCGGTTCACCTTCGGCTCGGCCGCAAGGTTGATGTCTGCGGGGAAAAAAAGGGGATTTAGGGGGTCTCTGGGGTGTTTAGGGGGGTCTGGGTGGGATTCAGGGGGTCTATGGGGTGTTTTGGGGGAGGTCTCAGCCCCGCCTTGCCCCGGTTCACCTTCGGCTCGGCCGCAAGGTTGATGTCTGGGGGGGGCAAAATTGGGGTTTAGGGGGGCAAAAAGGGGATTTAGGGGGGTCCCTGCGGGATTTAGGGGGGTTTTAGGGGGTCTGGGTGGGATTTAGGGGGGTTTTGGGGGGGTTTGGGTGGGATTTAGGGGGTCTCTGAGGGGTCTCTGGGGGTCAGGATGGTCCCAAATGACCCCCAAGTGACCCCAAATGACCCAGGAGTGACCCCAAATGATCCATGAATGACCCCAAACTGCCCCCAAATTACCCTGAACTGACCCCAAACTGCCCCTAAATGACCCCAAATGACCCAGAACTGCCCCCAAATGACCCCAAACTGACCCTAAATGACCCCAAATTGGGTCATTTGGCCAAAACCTGCCCCACCATCATCCCGCCGGCCTCGTGTGCGTGTGTTGACCCCAAAACCCCATTATTGACCCCAAACCTGGAGTTTCTCACCCAAGACCTGCCACGTGTCCTTGTGTGCACGTGCTGACCCCAAACCCCCCCAAACTGACCCCAAATCTCACCCAGGACCCGCCCTATGATCATACTGACCCCAAATGACCCCAAACTGCCCCTAAACGGTCCCAAACTGACCCTAAACGACCCCAAATCTGGGGTTTCTCACTTAAG